GAACGAAAAGCGTATGAACCAGTTGTTGGTCACCGGCTACCATGGGACAGTATCTCCTTACTTTGCTCTACTGATTTGTGGATTACACCTTTAGGTTAAAAGCTCGGGTTGCGGCGCCCTACGAAAACCGCTTGTTTTGGTTTAAGCATGCGAGTAGTCTCCAAGCTCTTACTCAAATCGAATGATTTGTGTGGCGCATATCTTTTCGGTGCCCCCTTGTAACAATGTCCTAGTGTTTAAATAAATAGAATAAATAATGTAGCGCATATTTTTTGGGAAACCCTCTTAATCGTTTATTTGTTTTATTGAAAAAATGAAAAATCGGGAAATCCTACTACATGAGAATGATTGAAAGGAAAAAACGTTACAGATGTGAATACAAAAAGTTATTCAGCGTATTTCATCAAAATTCATTTCACAATTTATAAGTTTAGCTTGAGCATAGGAGGAGCATAGGCCATAAACCAAGAACCATGAACCGATCAATCTTGGTCCATCAATAAAAACCTGGAACTCTATAGCAGTGCTCGTTTGCACTCTGTCATGCGTGATTCGATCCCAATACCTTCAGTTTTGAGCGTAAACTCTAAAAGTTTAGACGACTGAATCGACATCCAACAGTGTTGGAGTTTGAACTCAACCAATACACGATGTCATAATCTTAATTATTATTTTATTGACATCTAATCTATTTGTACTAAAACGAAGATGTCATTCAGACTCGTCAGTCAACTTTACTCCCACTCAAGTCACATTGACTAATTACTCAGTAATTTTCCAATGCTTTTGAACTAACCATTCCAGAATGTGAAACAATTTAATCAATTCTAAAGCCGATCATTTCATAAGATTATGTCAACGTCCATAGATGGCGTTAATCTGTTATCTGCTTCACATACGACATTTACTTAGACCACATTCTAATCATTTGATAATGAAATTCAGAAAAAGTTAGTAAAAAGTAATATATTGTAATATACATGACAATCCTTTCCATATTTCTATTTAATTAAGGCAGCTTTTCAAGACAAAAGGCTTATATTCCCAATTGATTGATCACTCAGTGGTGATCAATGTCAGGTATTTCAGGTCGTTCTTAGTGCAGATCAAATGCTATCGACCGAATCGCAATGTGGCTACTGGCGTACATGAATCGGCATTGCGTGCACTAAGTTGGGATAAGATGGTGGTTTGAGGGATTCAATAGGATACCCTGGAATCATGTTACGTGTTATTTGGCACTCGTCAGCAAGATGCACCTGTAATCTTGAGGAAACTGATGTTCTCTTTCGGATTCAATCCCGTGTCAATCAGCTTCACATTCAGAGACTTTACCACTAAGCTATCTTAGTCGCGAATGACAACATGTAGTACTGACTGATCACTGGATGGTGATCAATATCAGATGTATCATTTCCTTCTTAAAGTAGATTGAATCCTATCGACCAAGGCTTATGTTATGATTAACGTTCAGTGAAGAGAAGCTTTTCTCGATACAAATCGGTATATTGACATTGAATGAAATAAACAAAAAGAAAATACTCCGTAAGTGATTTCTAATTCAATGATTAATTTGAAGTTAATTTATTCATAAATTATGAATGAAAGAGATACTTTTGAATACTTTTTCATTAATCCGTTCACAGAACATGAATGGAAATGAAAAAGAGTAGTAGAGAGTTATATATAATCTTCTACTTTCAGATAATTGATCTTCAATTAATGTGACATACTACTTATATTTGTCAACATCAGTAGCATATATTCACACTATGACAATGCATGATATTTTTGCTTTCGGTCTCGTGCACGATTACCCAACCTCTAGACCATTAAATTGTTATTAACAATTGACTGGTTACTAAGTAGTGATGACTGTCAGATTTGTTTAATCCCTCGACATCATATCTACCAATGTTATGTTGTTATTTTAGTATCAAAATTTAGATCTAGATTCGTACAAGGTGTGAATTTATTCACAGTTGGTTCTGTCAATGAGCATTTCGTTGAATATAGAGTGACCAGTCGAGCTATTGAGGAAGATTTTTATAATATTGACCTTAAGCTAAAATCAATGTTCTGAGATATTTCATCGCTCTTGAAGTCAACGTTTAGGTAAATAGGTACTTGCTCAATCGTAGCAGTCTAATAAGCTAAAGAAAAGAGCCTTGGTTGGAACTCTATTCAACCGCATAGACAAATGATGTCCTTAGTATAAAAATAAAGATAGGTTAGTGATGTTTGAGCACTGCTAATGTGATATCGGTTATGCATAAATACTCATGACTAAATATAGAACGACTAGAACGTAGCAAATATAATATGTTACGATTGAGGTACCCACCAAAGACAAAAGGGAACGGTTGAGTAGTATCTTCAGTACATTATCGTATCTTGTCTCAGTAGTCTAGAGACTCAGTGTTAATACGTTAGACGATAGGCTTACGGTTTGGTTTCTTGATGCAGGATTTCGAATGGTGAGAAATTCCACACTGAAGTGAGACAGCCGTCCAGTACTCTAAGATTTTCAATGGCTGTCTAATTGAGTTAAGTGTATGTACTCGTACTCTTCATGTAGAAATATTATAACGTAATAAATCACTTAATGATAGAAAATTCAGACAGAAACGTCAAATATTTCGTCACATTTCTCTCCTATTCTATTCTCATTTAAAATAATGAATAAAATGCATACAATTAGATGTCATTTCAGTTGTCCTTGATATAGCTATAGAAATGTATGATTAAGGAATCTCATACTAGAACTGAATAGCAATCCCGTACTTTCTGATTTCTAATGACGTAGATCTATGAATTTCAATGATTCTTCTATTTCACAGATTGAAATCGTGAGTCAATTGAAGCTAGACCACCATGGAAAACCTGAAGCATTGGACGGCCGTTTTGTTCTATTGTGGGACTCCTCAGCAGTGAGTATCCACGACCTCGCCCCCTGCGATATTCAAACCAAGGACCTACTGATTTCGCGCGCGACCACGCAACAGATGCTCACTAGTGAGCATCCTGGAGTTCTAGTGAAAAGTAGTGACCAGTGGAGTTCAACCAGGTCTGTTGTGATCGAGTAACTCACTGAAGACAATGGTGGATGTGTCACTCAACTTCAACATTTTATCCATTTTTCGAGATAATGTGTCTGGACTCCGATATTAGAAAACGACATATCATGTATTCCTCCTCTCTCCCTGGCGTTAAATTTTTAACTATTTAAGTCACTACTAATTTTTCGTAAGACTAAAATATTTTCAAACTTAATGAGTATTCCGTTTTGTCCAATTCTTAATACCAATCGAACTCAATCGGTCCGTTAAGTTTGTCATTTACCTCCAACCATTTAACGTCAACACAATTTGCATTACGATGTTGAGTCACATTCTATTTTGTTACAAAGTCTGTAAATATAACCTGATCAGCAACTAGCATTAAACACCTTTATATTGGTTATTTCTCAGTTATTCACTAGCGTATATTTCAACCTTTGTTCAAAATACCTCAAATTTCGATTAAGTTAACAAAGTTTTCAAAATGTACTTATTTCTTCGTTCCTTCAACGTTTATAAAATTTCACCTTAAATGAGTGGTTTAATCAGTGTGCTGTAAAATATGCGAACTTTGGAAGTTCATTGGTGTCATTACTCACCGAATTTAATGAAATATTTCACCAAAGATAATATTGGTCGGGTGTATTTACTTGAGGTTATGGGAATAATTCATCTTCACAGTTGAGCAATCAAATATGATGCTACTTAAGTATATGGTCAACAAACATCAACCTATACTCATCAACTATTAATAGTAAACGAGTCTACAATACCGATCTAACTTGGTCCAGTAAATATGTTCACCAACACATTCAAGTAGTATAAAATGTTTAGATTTCTTCTCTGTAGAATTTACTTTTAAATAACACATAACTCTATATCTGTTACCTATCAGCTTCGTTTTCGTGCAAATTGATTCCATTTTTACATTCTATTGCTTGATTAATGCTGAAAACTAGAGCACATATTCTGTCGCTAATTATTGAGTAATCGTTAAGATCTAATAACGTTTCAGCTTCATAAATTCGGGTATACTAAACAGGATAATGAAGACCGACCGTTTACAAAAGCTTTTATTTTCTGCAGAAAAGGCTAATATTATTAAATAACACGCCTGTTTATATGGTTACTTAAGAAGCTTGGAAAGTAGGACGAAAACTAGGTAATTAACATGTGAGTTTAATTCATTTGTATTGGTCGTCTGAATCTTCTCGTTGATATTTAGGATTGCAATTGTCCAGTCACTTTCGGCATATGTGCATCCTGTGCGGATTGTCCATGCATTGCCATTAAGTCACTAGTAATATAAGCAGAGATGGATGGTGGCTAGTAGTAAAATCTAGAACGCGCGTTTCATCTTATATGGGATTTGTCAACTGAATATGCTTTTATCTAAGAGACTGATCCATTACAGTACTCAATATCAATGGAAAGATTTAAAACAACTAATACAAATGAATTAGACTCCACCCCCCTTCACAAACCATTGGCTATCTGTACTTAATAGCTAAGTGAAAGACGCGATTATGTTTGAAGCGATCAGTACTGGATTTGAGCCCCTGAGTGAATATCAACTCTGGAATGTAGGTAAATTCAGGTAATAAGCCCCAACTACGATTAAACGCGAGTTTTGGATTCCACTGCTAGTCACTATCTACCTCTGTTTATAACATGGGAAGTTAAGTGTGAGGTGATTGTAAGGTTTACAGTTTCTGTATCCACAGTGGATTTAAAGCACTAGAATATATGAATTAAACTAATGAAACTAAGAAATCGTTATTCATGGTATATTCTTCAAAATAAGCTCACTAATGTTAGTTCACATTCGGTAGTTGTGTGCAAACAAGTAGTCATTATCTCAATTTTTCTGTGTTGATTTACTTAAGTTTGCTTTATTTCAATGTGTTTTTCTTTATTTTGTACACTTTATACTTTTCCAAGGATTGGATGCGTGCTATCAGTAGATGTAGTATTGAATTTATTACTTTAACTCTTGAAGATTTAGAGGATCACTACAAAGCACTGACTACAGTAAAACAAACAAATACAGATCAGAAATCATCACCATCTACATTAATTGGAAATAATAATAATAATTCAGCTGTTAAGTCCTCAATATTTTCTAGACGTTCGAATCCGTTTAATAAAAGTAATAGTGTTACTGGCACTAGTTACGATATCGATCCTACTGGGTTCAATAGTCAATCACGCAAATTGTGTCCATCCAGTAGTTCCAATGGTTTATTAAATCAAACCACATTGTCCTCTATAAATCATACTCAATGGTTATTAACACAGAATTGGGAACAATTAAATTCTCGTTTAAAAGCTCAATTCATGATATTTGACAACAAAACTGACACATGAACAAATTAATTACCATTAAATTTCATTTCTGTTTTATATAATTTGTATAGTTTTGTTAGTAGATTTTGGCTCGATGCTCAATGTAAATATAATTTTTATTTACTTTGAATTAGTACTATTATTATCTACTCCAAATCTTTGACTAACGTTTTAGTATCAGACTACTTAATTTAATGGTTTCAGCTACGTAACTTCAATTCATAAACCATTTCTCAGTTTAAGTATTTGTGTTGAATAAATGCTAGAATTATGTTTTTTTTCCACTTTTTGTGCATACAAATAGTGTACCATTGCAAAACTGAAGCTCATTATTATCTAGCTTTTTTTTTTTTATTTATACTTATTACTGTACATCCAAGTATATTTGAATGCTCAATTATTTCGGTTAACTATTAAAAGGTTGTTATATGTGGTTCATTCATTCACGCTTTTATAGATAGTAACACGTTTAATAATTACGTATTAACAGTTAAACTTGGTGACTGATTGTCAGAAAGATAGTCTACAAAATAAAATGATTATGTGTTCTTTTTTTCGCAGTCAGTTTCAATCGATTTCTGACAACTAATTGATTTAAGGTTGTAACAGATCTTGGGGCGTAGATGAAATGTCCTCCTGATAGCATAGGGTCGAGTACACCAAAAAACCAACTCGTTCTGCTCTACTTTAAGGTTTTTAAACATAGTCTTTAAATGTACGGAATACTCGCAGGTTACCATTATTTGACTATAGATAAATTCAAAGTATTGCTTGCATATGTTGAAATTATCGAGTGAGCAATACTGAGGTTTAGGCGCAGGGTATTATGTCAAGATTACAAATCGGTTGATGAAATAGTGAATCTTCTTTGACTGGGGTAGTTAAGATATGTTTTATGTACACTAACCATTACTTCCTTTACGAACTGTGTTGGCTGATGTGGAATAGTAGATTAGAGGAACACTGGAAGCAACCAAACCAAAACGTAGCATCAGTCCACGAAATTATTGACTGTTGAACTAGCTTTGTAGTTGGGTACAGACTATTTGGTTGAGGTCCATGCGATCACTACAATCAATTGTTGGAGAATTTAAGTGACGTGGCTCGGAATCAATCGAAGTGTGTCATATGCGTACACTCTTTGTCCTCTTTTGGATTTAAAGTGTTGGGACTTATGCTTTTTTATTTCACAAGTTCATATTATGCCTTTTCAAATTTTATCTTCCATATCCCATATTTTCTATCACTACTAATACTGGTATTGTTAATACTTCTACTAATCTGGATCTATTTTGATAAATTCATCTCGCTATGCAGATATTGTTTAGGAACTTCAACCACTACACACGTGTACCAGATTCCGTTTTAACTTTGACTGATTGATTTATATAGTCGATCTCAACATCCTCTCCATCAGATGATCATTTTTAATGATAATTATCTATTCTATTATCAGTGTTGCTTGACACCATCTGTACCACGTTTTGCTGGTGCGTTCATGCACTTTGCTAATAATTCACCACTCTAACCTACCTCACTAACTAGAATAAAAACACCAGTTTTGCGGTTGAAATTTTTTGAAGCTGATCAGTTGAAAAACAACTAAATTATATTAAGTTTATTGATTTAGTCAGTCAGTCAGCTACAACGTAGGACCAGGCACATATATTCATCGGTCCGAGTTGCCATACCTCATCAGCATAACAGGATGAACACCAAATTCATAGAAGTAGTTACTTCAATGGTAGTACCATATATAAGAAAGATTGTTCATAAAGATGTAGTAAAGGAAGAAAGAATTAATTCATGAAAAAAAAGTATAAAGCAATTTTAATTCCACGGTTCAAGGGAAGATAAAGAGTGCATACATCGACGCCATTGTGATCGATTCTAAGGCATGTCGCCCAGTCTCCAACCATTGGTTACGATAGTCACGCGGACCCTAACCATGTAGTCTGCATCTACCAACATGTCTAATAATAGAAGTTAGTGACTTCAAGCACTTATACGACGTTTTGGCTTGGTCGCCCCTAACTTTCTTCCAACCATTCCCTACACTAGTCAGCATTACGCGTCGTGGTAATCGGTGTTCAGGCATACGTAACACGTGGCCCAACCATCTCAGTCGACGAAGATTTACAACCTCATCTACTGATTCACCATCGTTCCCCAATACTCTGCGTCTAACCTCACTATTACTTACCCAGTGATCCCAGCAATTGCACGCCATATTTCTAAGACATCTGTGATCTTACGCATATCTTCTACTCTTAATGTCTACGTTTCTCGGCCGTAAAATAGAACAGATTGAACTGCTGTGCAGTATACTCGCCCCTTAATGGGTAGTTGGATTTCTTGCCTTCGCCATCGGTGACGTAGGTTGGCAAAACGCAAACGAGCTTTAGGAAATTTATTGATTAATTACGAGTAAAAAATAATTATATTTAAAGTGTATAGCTGTCATTCATATAGATCGTCGTAAAAACGTATGTAATTTTCAATAATAGTGTTCGCACTAAATAATCTGCTGCAATAGAATTCCAATCTAATAGATATTGACCCACATCTCATTATTTGTAATTTGCAATCGGACATCTTCATCATCTCTCATATTAATAGCGTGATTCTCTTGGGTTCACTTGAAACTGAATTATCTTCCACCGTTGTCTGGTCGACCATTTGAGTCGTAGGTCTACTTGTTCTGGAGTTGTCATTTCTGTCTTTCTTTCTAATGTGTCAAACCGGGGTTGCGGTAGACTGGAAGTATCTAGTAGTGTTTTCAGAGTCAAGTTGTCGTTGTACTCTCCTATGATAAACATCTTCGTAGTTGACTGGGACGTTGTATCCATTTGTCTTTCCAACTGCTACACCATACATTACCTGACCCAACCTCCGGGTTACACACCTCTTTATTCATGTGTTTTACCTCGGTCTTTAATATCGGATGAATACACGAGCTCCGATTTCAAATCCCATCGTTTTCACTTGTACCATTCCTTTTTTGCAAACAATCGTTTTTGGTAACACCAGGTGAGTGAGTTGCTCTCAATCTGAAGCTCATGAATGTTTTAGCTGGCGATTTCTGATTTGGTGGTGAATCACTTGGTGTAGTTCTGTGCACTAACGACAAATTGTGGAACATCAGAGAGCGTTCCTCCTCTCATCAATTTTAAGTTTGATCAAATCGTTTTGGTTTTCCATTTGAATGAGGATGTTACGGTAGTGAGCGAATTTATATGATGGGTTGTTGACAGTAAAACTGTTAAGAAAAGTTGGAAGTAAATTGTAATCTATTATTTGACACTGTAGTATCTGTTCATCAGTTGACAGAAAATATCTGGAGTTTTTTGGTTGTTGCTGTTGGAATTTCATTTACGCACGGTGATTTTTGTACCATTTTTAAATAAAAATTTTGTCATCCTGTTTCGTGCAATTAACTAATTAGCTTTAAAATAATAATAAATGGTTATTTATTTCTGGAAATTGATCTAACAGGTAAATACTTCTCAACTGATCACCTTTTCTCCAACTTATGAATGTAAATAACGTCCGAATTGCAAGCTCTATCGTTTCGAACGTTGTCAGGGATGCGGATAACGTGTTCTTGAGTACGTTGTATCTGGTAGCGTTCCAATTGCTTGAAGAGTTATCAATGGGATCACTGGCAGAATCTCTAGTCATTTTGAGAATGCACCAACGGAACAAAAGATGTAATGCCATTTATTAGTCCTGCGATGTCTATGCAGACTGGGAGAAATTAACATATAAGTCACTGATTCTCCAATCAATTAAGACCTGGCTGTTAGACTTAATAGTTGGGCATCGTATATTCTTTGTAGATACTATGGTTCCCATTGAACGGACTCTCATGAGATTTGTTTTCTTGTATTGAACTGATCAAAATGTGAGATTGGGATGATGTGCAGTTGTGTAGGATTACTGTAAATAAGACATTTGATTGTAAAATCCCCAAGTAACAAACGTAAATTCCACAAAACATACTGGTTATTGTTCTCAGATAATCAAATTTAGTTTAGAAAAATTGGACTGAAGTAGTAAAAACTAAATAACTCCGCCTGTAGCTCTTATTGGGTTGCTGCCGGTCCCAAGCCCGAGTAAAGGAGGAGGGTTGGGCATGGGGTTAGCGTCCCCATCCCGTAGAAAACTAACTCGCTAAAAAAACGCTTACCAGAAAAAATAATCCAAACCATTTTAACTCTGCCCTGGGAGTTAGAAGGTCTTCATTTAGAAGAATTATGACGCTTCATGGTGAAAGCCGAGTTCCTTCGGAAGTTACGAGGCCGAAGCCCCTTCTAACAACCAGAGCAAAAATTTTTATAGGTACATGGAACGTTCGAACAATGTGGGAAACCGGGAAGACCAGTCAAATATCAATGGAAATGAGGAGATACAACTTAGCAGTACTGGGAATCAGCGAAACCCACTGGACCCAAACTGGACAGAAAAGGCTAGCTACGGGAGAGATGCTGCTATACTCTGGTCACGAAGAGGACAATGCTCCACACACTCAGCGAGTCGCTCTTATGCTGTCCAAAGTAGCACGAAATACACTTGTAGGATGGGAATCTCACGGATCCAGAATCATCAAAGCGTCATTCAAAACAAAGAAGGAGGGGATCTTAATGAATATTATCCAATGTTATGCACCCACCAATGATAGCAACGACGACATTAAAGATCAATTCTACTAGCGGCTGTAGTCAATCATTGAGAAATGCCCAAGAAAGGACCTAACTATTCTGATGGGAGATCTAAATGCCAAAGTCGGAATAGACAACACTGGATATGAAGATATTATGGGACGACATGGACTGGGAGAAAGAAACGAGAATGGAAAAAGATTTGCAAATCTATGTGCATTCAACAAATTGGTCATAGGAGGCACAATATTTCCACACAAGCGTATACACAAGGCTACATGGATCTCACCGGACCACACTACAGAGAACCAGATAGATCATATCTGCATCAATAAAAATTTCCGAAGGACAATGGAAGAT